AGACTGCAGTAAAGCTACAGTAGAGTCCACTTTGGTCGTAAATTTGAACGGCCTTTCATATTTATCACACAGTTGGAAATTAGAAGTTTAAGTCATTTTCTATCAGTTCGAATACATGGTTCTATGAGTAAAAGGAAGTCATTCTGTGCATTCACATCATTGGGAGCGTACACACACACACTTTATGGAACATTCGTCATTGCCATAAGTAAGATCGCATACAATGAAGCGCCCGTCCCGATCGGTGGTAAGAGCATTAGCAGTGGGACCCGCTCTCCTTTTCAGTAACAAAAACCAACCCGCCGACATGCCCGTTCCATGGGTGACACATGCATCAAAATCAATTATAAAAGATTTCAACGCGACTTTAGTTTCTTCCTCGCCGGACAATTTTGTTTCTTATGCAGCCAATACATGTACTTGTTGCAGGGATATAAGCTGAAGAAGCTGGCACTTCTATCGCTTTGCTCTCACGTTTAAGGTAGCTATACGGAGCTGAGAGGCGCAGGATATGCGATCGTTTATGTTCGAGCGCTATCGCTCAGTGGCTTGTCTTCGACAATTTGAGTGCCAGAAGATGGCTTCAAATACGGCTTGTGCAATGTTCCAGCCTGTCTTCCGTCGGACAGTTTTGATCTAGTCAAGAGGCCATCACTCAGTGTCGCATTCGTAGGTGCCTCAATTGCAAGAATGGAGCCATGTGCATCGTCGATTCCTTGCGTTGAGTGACCTTGCTCCTCCATCTCGGTGGTTGCTGTGTTTTGTTGATTTCCTGTGAACGTTTGTCCGTGTTCTGTCATATGAGAAGTTGTCAGTGCTATTTCTTGGATGGTAAGAGTGCCAGCGCGTTGATCTGCACTCACATCAGGAGAGGGAAGGAAGAGAGGGTTCGGTCGGGGGTGTCTGAAACGATGGACCTAGTGGCTCAGTCATCATGGGGATGTCCCCTCTCGATGCAAGAACCTCGCTTGCATCCATCAGGTGTTTTGTGGTTGAGTTCTCTCCTGCTCCGATTCTAAGCCTGTAGGCGTAGGTGAGGACGCAGTCAGCAAGATCGTGTACGTGCCTATGGCACTTCGCGCACCTCGGAGTCCTACAGTGGCGGCAGATGTGGCCCACGCGGTTGCATCGCCGGCACGAGGGAGGTCGGCCAGGGATCAGTACCGAGATCTGACACTCATGAATAGTCAGTAGGTGAAGAATCTTGCTCACGCTTATGTTGGCTCGGAGTGTCAGTTCTACCTTTCTGTTGAGGGTATCCATATCCTCCATTCTTTCGCATTTCCACTTCTCTTGTGCGATAGAGCGCACGGTACCGAAGGGTTCCTCTGCTTCAACAACTTCCCGGTTTTCGATGTGCGGAAGTAGCTACAGAAGTGTGAGTTTTACCTTTAGCTCTTCGCGGGCCGAGATTGCTTTTTGCGAGAGAAGTCGAACATACGACCATTCAAACATTCGGCATTTAGTACTCTCTTATGGCGTTAATGTCCTTTCGGTTCATTAAGCCACCGAGGGCAATCGAAAAACCTGAGCTCGGTAGGGTCGAGCAGCGAGATCTCCATGGAGGAATACTGAATAAAGAAACGAGGTTACCAGTAGGGGAACGTGGCATCAGCGCTCGGTAGTCATCCATCAGGGAGACGGTAGTAGCAGCAGCAGTGTACGTAATATTTAGGCCAGAGGCCGATTTGTTTTCTTGGGTGGAAAACATAAGAAATGCAGTCATTCGAAACTGCGTCTTCTTCGCTCTCCGGGACACGCAGAAACACTTGAAAGGCTTGAGAACGAGCGGGATTTATATTTGGCCATCGGGTTCCACTCTTAAAGGCGAAGCTAAAGAGACCTCCTGTAATTTGTGTATGGTGCATGAGCACTGTAACTGCCACGTAAACAAAAAGGAGAACATTTGAGATTGCCGTGTTCATAATCAATAACTATACAGGGATCTAAGACATAACACTGTCTCGTCTCGCTTCTTGAGCTGCCGCGATTGAGAAGCTTTCAACCACATATCGTGGAGTCGCTACTAGGCTCCTCCCATACAATTTGAGCACCATGCCTAACACCAAAACTTTCCCCGGGGACGGATCAAGAAATGTAGAGGCTCTGAAATGGTAAGCACCTGCCCCCTCCCAGTTATTCTAAAAAGAAATATATGCGTAAATGGCGTCGAAAATTAGTGTGGTCCAGCAATATCGCGACAGAGTGTCGGTGTTCGACGCTGTTTTCATTAGATGGACGTTTTCTTTTCCACTATTTTAATCAGAAAGGAAGAGCGTGGTGAAGAAAGTCTGGCAGTTCAGAATAAAAAAAGGGAGCGCACATCAAACCCCGGAGTTCGAACAGATATACAAGTGCAGCTCAAATGCTTCATCGCTAACAGCCTTTAGCGCGTAAAGCGTTCCTCACTTTCGTCCTTTCGTGAACAAAAATGTTTCCGCTTAACTTTGAAAAAAAGATTGGCCTTTACACGATATGCACTCGTCCCGAAACTTGCAGCAGTAATAACAGCTCCACACGTGGCGATCCAAATCTCATTATATGAGGTCTCGTATATTAGGCACGTTAGAATAAATGGGCCCCGTTCCCTTGCTGTCGGAGGTGAGGCCCTTAACTCCAACCAATTGATTCAGCGCAATATTTCTCCCTAGCCCAGGGACACCGCGACACCGTGCCTGGAAGCGAAAATTCGTCCACTCACCTGGTACTCGATTCAGTCAATTCCGCCTAAAAGAAAAGGCCTGCTCGTGACGTCATCATGAGTGGATCCCCAACCTACCTGAAGCGTGCAACACGCTGAAGCTTTACGAGAGTCGACGAAAAGTGGCAAACGCGTCCATCTTGGCGTCGCCGCGTTCTAGCGTTGCGCTCGTTGTGAGACGCAGTGAGACGCGCTGACGGTGACGCTAAGCAAGCTAAGCGTGGGGCCACTTTTGATGACGTCTGCGGAGGAAGATGCAGGCCTTGTCTTCTAGGTGATATTGACTGGGCGAAACAGAAACAAATGGCATAACAGTAACAAACAATATAATATGTGAGAAGTGCCTGAAGGAGCGTACTTACTTTGCTGAACGGTATACTGCAGAGAAGAAAAAATGCTCAAATTAATAATCGATTGCGTGGCTTGGACATCGCGTGCATTTCGAGCAAACACAGAGAAATGTGTTTGCTTCTCACTAGAGCACCTCAAGACAGGCGAGTTGAGTGACATTGTCACATCTGTGTGAAACACACGGATGTGACAATATTTCTCAACTTACCAAATTTGTAAAAATAAATGCTGCTTCTTCCTTCTTTAAATATTTCTGCGAACACACAAGGTCATCGCTCTAGTATGTTCTAATGAACGAAAAGGTATTTTTTTAGTTTTTTAATAGAGTACGAGTTAAGTGGCAACAAGGATTTTATGCAGTAAGATGCCTTAACTAGTGACTCTAGTATATCCATAATTATCTTAGTAATTGGCATATAAATTTCACGCAATTTCACACTCACCAGAAAGAGGAGAAGGAGGAGAGAAAACTGAAAACTTTGAGACATGTTGCCTCCCCAATGAGCCGAGGAATTAACACGTGCCCCCTTCCTTTTGCGTAAATGCTTTTCTGTCACTATCTTTTATACAAAAACAGAATCTAAAAAAATGCGGGTGCGCTCAAAAAAAAAAAAAAAATCGACGTCAATAAAGTTTTATTTTCAGGAGAAGGTTCGAGCTTTGTTTTCGAAAGGACGAGGTTCAACAGGGGGCATTCACCGGATGCCACATTTGAGTGCCTGGGCGTGCCTTATTCATCCGCTGACGTTTACAAACCAACCAGAGCGCCCCCAGCGGTACGGCACTAACGCCGTGCATGCGCGATGGGGTGTGAGCAAAAACGCCACGACCCTCATCAACAAATAATTGAAATCTGATGTCGTCGGCGTCGGCGTCAGTCTTCGTGCACGTTTTCGCGTTGGAAGTGCTGATTCTACGTCTTCCCAGCACTGTCTTACCACTCTAGTAGCCAGAACTAAATTAACCAGGCTCATTACACCGCAAACATTTTGTCTAAATAACGTGACGTGCGTCGATTCATTCAGCGTGAACGCCGCAGAATGTACGTTAAAGCAATATTTACAAACTAAGATTCTGCTCGCAATTTTCAGCCGCGACGTCACTCGGGCTGCGAAAGTGTGTACGGTAACTGCGATGCTCGACGTCGATACTAAAGAACGCAAGCAGAATCGATTTCAGTGAATCAGGCATAACAAGTCGTTGGTTGAAACTGGTAAAATTGATCAACATCTCACTGTATCTACTGTTTAGGCCGAGCCTACTTATTCGAAACAACCTTCAAGCTTAAAAGTAATTTGAGGCATGACTTCTTATCGCAACGTTTGCACTACTGGCGCCTGCGGTTTGAACGGGCAGGCGACAGTTTGAACGAGTTTGAAAGAGAATACGACACTTTGAACAATACCGCGGTCGTTTAACCGTGAAGTCGCACTGAACGTCGTCTGCGAGTGGTCCGGGCAACTTAACGTTTTTTTGTTTTTTTCGGGTTCATGTAAGAACAAAACAAATAGATCTAACGACCACAAATAACCGTGGATTCATCCCAAAGTGCTTCGCGTTCGTGCAATCGTGTTCCGACGGTGTCTGGTTTCCCTTTTCACAGCACCTATCCACGCTTTCGGGATAGCCGAGCATACAGAAAACGCGTGGAAAATAGTCTTCAAACCTTTACCGACTTTTTTGGTACAGCCCCAGTCGCAAGGTTTTGACCAGAATGCAAATTTTAGTATGGTTGCTTCCAATACAACACAGGAATGTTCATCCCGCATGGTAGCTTCCGTCCACAGCCCCAGAGCGGAAGTGCGCCTGACACGCTACGCCGCGGTGTAACTTAGCAGAGTTGAGTTGGTGCGTACTCAGAGAGAGCTCACACTTAAAGGCCGACGTACGTATTTGTTTTTTGCAGGGCAGAAAACCGGTTTCTAGTTTCCTTCTCTCCCTCTCCTCTTCATATAGCAGCGGGTCTACAGGTGTTAATATGATTGTTTTCATATTTGTCCCGTTTGTAGGGAGTATGTACAGTTATCTTGACGAGTGTTATAATGATGTTCAGGTTTAATTCAGGATGATGGGTAACTTTGTGGCAGAAGTATTCTGTCGTGGTAAACGTAGATCGAAAGTTTACATGTTCATACTTCTTGAAAGCTCGAACTTTTATGTTGCTCGAAAAGGGGAGATATATTAGCGTTATAGTCGAAATTGTTTCTTAGGCGAACAGCTTTCTTTTTTGTAGTGGGTGTAGCCATGGTAAACTTGCTTTCGCTATCTGATCCCAGGCAAAAAGGCAATAATATACCTCGGTGTATACGAGATAATCATAAACTTGATACTTTAATCCCGGTAATAAAGGTTCTACAGAGTAAGGCATGCTACGGATATAGAAATTTCTGCTTGTATTGTGCTCACACGGTGCGTCTAGATGATGTGTTTTGCAGCGGCAGCTTACACTAGAGTAACTGCGTAGGCGCCGCCTGCGGAGCAGACTATCAAATTAAATCAAATCATTTATTCCCATCTGTAAGGAGAGTTGCCGGAGCTACGGACAAAAAGCCAATCTTTGCTGGCTTGACGAGGTCCGGGCCACGAGTGCTTGGCTGATGGTAAAAGAAATGCTGGAAAAAATATCTGAGTTACCGATATGCAGGAAATACGTTAGCTAAATGGTTAACGTAACTTAATACATATTATACATAAAGTAGATATAGTGATTTACAATCGAAACAATAAATTTCAAGATTATTCATGGAGTATTTATTGAGTAATGTGGGTAGGTTATAATAAAGTGACTAAGCCATAATTGTTGACTAATGCGACACCCTCCATTTCCTCCGAGCAGCCGGTGCGGATGGTGTTTACATTTCTGGTGAAATTGAATTTATGACTAAAAAAGAATCGGTTCTGGTGATTAAAAACAAAATGACCCACTCGGGAGGTATTCATAAAATTGAGATATATTGACAATTTTGCATTTTTGAAATAATGATTCAGTGTGGAGTAAACACTGAACGTTTCCAAGAAAGCAAACACTCTCTTTTGAAGCAATAGTATTTTATTTAGATTTGATTTTGTCGTCGTACTCTAAATAAGATCACAATACGTTATTTGAGATTTAAATAACGCGTGCTATATTTGTAATTTTATATTTTCGGAAATAATGAAACGACACCGGGCATTATTACCGACGATATTGCATAATTTGCAGGTAATAGGTTTTGTACGTTAATCCCAAGGCAAATTATCTGAAAATGTAACACCCAACGTTTTACTACTTTTCACTAGTTCAACTGGCTTAGAATTAAAATGGAGAGTTTTGTTCAGAGCTGCATGTTTATTGGTTGACCTAAATAATATTGCTTCGGTTTTTGTTTCATTAATATTTAGCCCTTTTGACTTTGACCACACAGCGAATCTGAAAAGCATTTATATAAATATTAAAGAGTAAGGGCCCCAATATGGCCACCTTGTGGGACACCATATCTGATCGGCATCAAATATTTTAAATGTCCATCAGTGCACACACACTGCATACCATCTTCTAGATATGAACTCAAAAGTGAAAATGAGCATCCACAAATTCCGTAGTGACATAAGTTGTCAACAAGTATTTTTTGATTAATACAATCGAAAGCTTTGCTAAAATCTATCAATATTCCTAATGTCAAAAGATTGTTTTCAATGTTATGTAAAATAATTTCCTTTTGTAAGAGGAGTGCAGACTCCGTCGACTTTCCCTCTCTAAAACCGAACTGAGTCTCAGAAAGTACTGAGTGCTTTACAAAAAAAAAAAAAAAAAAAAAAAACTATATCAACGACACAAAATAATCTTTTCGAGCACTTTGGAAAGAATAGGCAGGACCGATATAGGTCTATATTTAGATTTATAATTATTTTTACCACCATTATACAGTACTGACGCTTTTGCACGTTTCGTTTTCCTAGGGAGATCTCCGCATGACAAGCATAGATTGAAGATGTGTACAAGATATGGCGTAATAATATCAAGAATATATTTAATCGGTTTATATTAGAGGCCATCAATATCACACGTTTTACTATTGTTTAAGCCCATAAATGTTTTAGACACAATCACAATGGTGCTCCCAGGGCGGCCATGTTGGATCCAAGGCCGCACTGCGGGTAGCGACCGTCGCTTCTTCAGGAGATTCGGAGGCGCGGATGGCGTGGCTGTGAGGCGGCGTGCTGGGGGGCGAGCGGAGCAGAGAAGCTATAGTGCGGCGACACGCCGCGCTTCCGCCGTCATCTCGTCATTTGTCTCCCGTTTTTTTTCTCTATACCATCGGTAGAACCATAGCCTCTTCTATACTGACAAAGCCTGGCAGATCGTCACGTGACGCCGCCGCCGAAAGTGAAACGGTACATATGTTTTACGAAAGTGAAACGGTAGAGCGGCAGACAAGAGTCATATAACGGGCGCCCCGCTGCGGCGAGACGCAGAAACACACTGGTCATGAGCGATGGAATATCCGCTCGTGCTCCTCGCGTTCCTTGCGTTGCCGCTTCTTTTCTCCTCGGGTTTGAAAACCACGTTTCTGGTCCTCGCCACTGCAAAGGTTGTGCGCTGAATACCGGACTCCCGAGGAATGCTCTGTGCTACCAGATCCTCGGGGTCTAAATCTGCGACCGGGCACCCAGTAGCTTCGTCATCGAACTGCCCGACTTTTTGAGTATAGAGGAGGCTATTGTTAGATCCAATTCGGCGCTCGTGACCGCTTGTTCGCCAATACGGAGTTGGAGGCGCAAAGAAAAGGAACGTGATACTCGGTCTCTGCAAGCAGAGCCTATACTGTTTCTCTAGTCGTTACGTGCCCATCCCCTCCGGTTTCGCGACGACGTGAGCGTAAACGAAAAGCTCCCCGGTAAATTTGGCGGAAAAGCCTCTGCACCAATTCCGTTTCCCCACTAAATTTATGGGACAAATTGACGTCATGTGTCCTATGCACCAATTCAGTTTACCCGCTAAATTCAACGGAAAAATTGACGTCACGTGACCAATGTACCAGTTCGGTTTCCCCCAAAATTCGGCGGAAAAATTGAAGTCACGTAACTTGACACCACGGGACCTCCAGACAAATTCAGGTTCCCCTCTTAACTTAGCGGAAAAATTTACGTAACTTGAGATATGCACCAGGTACGTTTCCCTGCTAAATTTAGCTGCAGTATTTAGCGACGATATGATGATCGTCATCGTCATATCGTCGATTGAGCAGCACAGCTGCCGCTCTCTAAACTCCATCACGCCTCCCATCGTCCTCTAATTGTTTAAACCGCATTCCGACAAGCTTGTGCTTAATTAAACCATAAACTGCAGACCCTTTCAAATTTGAGTGCGATTCTTGTTGGAATAAAACACTTTACTGAATAAAAACGGAATTCTTTTTTTCAAATTTACAGATAACCCATTTTCTGAGAGCCAGGATAAGATTGGAAATAACTATTTATTCACAATAATTTCTAACTAAGATTGCAAGCACTTCTGTCGTATCCATAAAATATCAATGTTCAGTACGTATAGAAAGATAGCCAGGTGAAAACAATAATAAATAAAAAAAAATTTAAATTAGATTGATTTGATATATATCGAAAAAACTGGATCCAAATACTACCTCCCTCATGATATATCTTTAATAAAGTTTTTCAGACAGACAGACAGACACAGATTAATTTGATTTAAATTACTATAGCTAGAAAATAGCGGCTCTTTATTACTATGTGTATTTTTAAACATGTCAGATTGGTCCATCAATCCGACCACTGATAGCATTGCAGAAGAAAGAAATATTGCAAATTTAAACTACGGTTTAATTACCTACCTTCTATGGCGATAGACCGTTCCATTAGGGTCATAGCAGAGAGGGTAATAGAGAAAAAAAAATGCCCCCCCCCCTTCTCACCCGCATGTCGTCTGCTCCGCCGAGAGGGCTGTACTTAGCATCCGGCTGGCGCACAAACTCTGTTTAAAATCGCGTCATTTTGAAAATTTCAAGCGCAGATGCGCAGATTTTGATATGGCAGTTATCGTGTAATACTATGCTAGATAAAAAGACTAACAGGGTCCTATTGCGCTGTTACCTGCGTGCAAATAAAAAAACGAAATAGGGAAAACTGCGTCAGATTGGCCGGTCTCTTCGGCGAAAAGTAAATCCGGTTGCTGTACATTTTTTACTATGCAAAGTTTGCGCTGGTGTAGGCCTTTAGCGACTATGAGTGGTAGTCTGAAATAATAAATAAAAACGTGCTCTCCTGCCGCAATACACGCAGTAGTTGAGGGTAGTACTGCCGGCTGACTCAACTGCTATTTAAGTAACGGAAAAAAAAGATATCCTAGTTGATCATTTACCGAAATAGAACAAAAAGAGAGCTACAGGTTGATTTTGGAGTAGCCGTAACTATTCTAAAAACGCGAACCACTTCACAACGGCAGCTACGAGCGAGAGTTCGATGTTCCGTACCGCCCGCCGGTACAGCCTAAAGATAGAAAATGGCAACCTCCCGGTTTGTCGTCTGCTAGCGGAGTCGGGCGCGTGCTCTCTCTCTCGTTTTGCCCAGCCGAACCCGCTGAATTTCCCGGATGTATGGAGAGGGCGCTGCTGTCGAACAAAATGGTGCCGCCCAGAAAGAGCTAAATGGAATGGTCTATATCCTCAGCCATTCTGGAGCAAAAACAGCTTGATTTTTTTTGTTAGTTTTTGTTCTCGCTCTGATTTCCTTGCGATCAGACCTTACTTTTTCCAGTTTTTGTTTCTTTCCCGTTACAATTTGATTGCAATAGGGTGTTTGTATTCACGTCATGATGTCCACCGTTTTTGTTGATGTAGGCCGTCTGGCGCGGCGTGCCCGAGACGCATCCGACACCATCGAGTAGGTAATGCAGAAGGCCTATGAATTTTATAGTGCGGACACCTAACAACGAAATAGCGGATTGGCATCACGTGAAAACACCCTACAGGACGTTAAGAAACTGACGAAACAAGTGAAAGGTGGAAAGGAAACTCATGATCCGATTTGCTCATGAGAGCAGTGACTTTTGCTCGTATTCAGCCAGATGCCAATCTTTCTTGCTTGCGATTTTCTTTATTTCGGAAAAAAAACACATACATACAGGAAGCCTCAGATGGTAGAGAGACGGCAAATAATAAAAAAAATCGGAATTATTTTTGGGGAAAGGTTTCATTTAAAGCGACGGTGACAGGGTAAATATGCTTGCCAAGGTTTTCATTCGCACATGACATGTGAGAACCCAACTGCGCAGAACACAACTTACAGCTCGAAATTTGCTTGCTTTCCGCCCGAAAACCGCCGATTAGGAAATGGCTAATTTGAGTCACGCTCACTCTCTTCTCCAAGGTCACGTGCCGTAATTTATGGTTTAGACACACACACCAAATACAATCAAAGTAGTGGGTCATCAAAAACATACTTCAATGTTTAAAAAAATGATACCAATTTTTTGTGACTTCTAGAAACCTTGGAAATACGTTGATTGAAACAAAACATTTGCACAGAAAACCAGAGAGGGAGAAGGAGAGAGAAGAGAAGCATTTATTTGAAAACTCGAGGTCATCACTCTTGCGGTCGAGGGGATGATGTCCTCATTCCAGGACTCTGCAGGCCATGGCGGCTGGTCGAACTTCCTGGACAAGCGCTTCTTGGCCGAAGCACTCTGTGCATTCTCTCCGTAATTCTCAACATGGCGTCGTAATGCGGGGGTCACGGTGTGGACGGCTGAACGAGGTGGACTAAGCGATGGCGGCGGGGGACGGGCTTGCGACCTCAACTTCCGAGCTGTTGTTCGCGGTACTGGCGAGTCTGTCTGGCTTTGAAAGAGAAATCGCTCACCGATCGAAACAAATAGGATTTATTTCATGCGACACTCCGGACCACCAAGCTGATTCGCACAAAGACATCGCGGAGTCGTCGCCCCTTCTTCTGGCTGAGGGAAACGCTGGTCTTACAAGCACAAATTAGTAAGAGTTTAAAACACGCGCAAACGTCAAGCGCGGCTTGCTTGACTTTTAAGTTTTTCGTGCGACGTGCGTTTTTTTCTCTCGCCTGCTTTGCACCGACAGAAAAACCAAAAAAGGAGGAAAAAAGGGTAGAAAAAATACGCGGTCGTGTGCATTCACATGACTTCCGGCAAATATGCCCTCTCTACATTTCATATTAATTGAAAACGAGCGTGTTGGTGAATAGGTACGAATACTTGAAATGATTAAACATCGAGGACAGGGACTTGAAGAAGGACTTTTTTTCACTAAGCAACAATTTCATCCTTTCAAGTATTTGTACCTGCATTTCTGCTTTCTCTCTAGTTCACTTTCGGTTATGGTTTCGCGCAGTTTTTTTTTTTTAAACTTTATTAAAGATAAACCTGACGCTGTAGCAAAATATTGATTGTTGTAGTCCTCCGACACCTTATTAAATCGCCCAACCAAAAATATTTTGCAGTGTCAGTGTCACTTTAAATCATCGTAGTTAAAGGGGCGGTGCAACGATATTCAATTGGAATGTTTTTCACTTTACACGAGCTTACTGGCACTAGTGGGACTCAAGGATACTCGCACGCAACGCCACTGACCAAGAAACTCCTTTGTTGCACTGTAATTTCGAGGACAAAACCGAGCGTTTTCATTCAATCTCTCCTCGCAAAACCTGATGACGTAGCTGGGCGGTAGAAATCCGCCCAGTGACGATATTTGAATGCAGCTCATAGATTGGACCCGAGCATTGCGTCGGCACTCGATTTGGGCTCGTGATAACTTATAGCTCGAGAAGCATTCGGGTAGTGTCCTGTGTCCAATCGCTGCAATGACGACAACAGCCGAACTATAACAATGTCTGGAACGCAGCGCGTGTCCCGTGCCTTGCCCACCTCAGCGCATGGCTATGATCAGCATTGGCGGCATATAATCGGCTCCAGATCATGTGGCCGCTTGTTCTGGCTACGAGTTGAGGGGGTGAGCTCTGCTCGTTTTTCTTAATTTTTTTCTGCGACTTCGATTGCGTGTGGTGAAAAACGAATGGGTATTTCACAGATCATTAACGTCAGGGATCCTCTCTAAGCGGTATTTCCGCAAAATACAAAACTCGTTGCATCGCCGCTTTAAACTGGCCTGATATAAACCAGCTTGAGTTTTATTCTCCAGCCTGATGTTAGGTATGTCAGTGAAGATGTTCTTTCTTGGAGATTGCGCCGGGACCCGACGACGGAGGCAGCTGATGGTCGCTGACGGAAGAGAAAACCAGACAGGACTCCGCGGATAGGAGGAAAAAAAAACACGTCTATTTACAAGCCAAGCTAATTTTCGAATCTCCTCCAAAAGGTTACCGCACGTGCTGTCCTCGTCTTCTTCTCTTTTTTCTCCCGTCCCCTGCGCCAGCTCGCACTAGCGCCGCCAGTCCACCCACACACAGGGGCACACGTGCAAACGCCAACACGCAAAGGAAAGAAAATGAAGCTCGGTCCTGTTCCCGCGTCCACTCACGGTGATGGCGGGGCCGATTCTCACACCTCCCGGCAAAGTATATTTTTTAGACCCAAATGTCGAAAATAATATATAACAACTAAACTCAAACGCGTACGCATATCAGACACACCTTACACAGAGTTTGTGACTCAACCCGTCAGAATCCAAACTATCAAAAATATTTACACCAAAACGCAAATCACACGCCTGTAAAGTGATTCTTACTGTGCCTGCCAAGGCTCCAAAGCAGCGACAAATCTCGCGCCGAGACTAGCGCAGCATCTAGCCTCCTAGCCTAGGCCTCTTTGCCGACAGGTTATTCAAGCCACCCAGATTTCGGCGGGGCTTGAATCGGACGGTGTGTAGCTGTTTCCGGAATTTCTCCGCGCAAGAGCGACGACAGTTTATACTCTGTCTTGATTTACGAATCAGGAAAGGGCCTCGCAGGTGGTCGCCGTCGTCGACGCCTTCTACACTCCCAGCTCTCTCATACGTGGCCGGCTGGCAGGTGGTCGAGTCTTCATCGGCGTCCTTAGCTATAATCTGGGACATCTTCATCTCGAAGACGGTGTCCTCGTCACTGTCCCCGCTTTCCCTGACACCTTCACCGGCCGGCTGTGACGTCAGCCACCCTAACAAGATGTCCGACTTCTTGTCGACACCCACTTCCTTGCCGTGGTCGTCATCAGCTTGCCAGAACGTCTGCCAACAAAGCAAAATATCCGGTTCTTTTTCGTCGTCCACGTTCACGTTCTCGTCATGGTCATCCTGCCGCCCAGGCGATAAGTTCGGTCCTTCGTCGTCCACGTTCTCGCCGTCGTCGTCCTCGGCTTGCCGGAACGCCTGCCGTTCAGACGATAAGTTCGGTCCTTCGTCGCCGTCCACGTTTTCGCCGTCGTCATCTTTGACTTGCCGGCATTTCCGCCTCCCAGAAGATACCCTCGGTTCTTCTTTGTAGCCGGCGCCCACGTTCTCAACGTCGTCGTTATTGGCTTGTAGGAACTTGTACAACCCAGGTAAGATGTCGGGACCGGCCAAGACGTTGTCGAAGTTCACACATGGGTCGTCCTCAGATCGCCGGGACGCCTGCCGCCCAGGCCAAGTGTACGGCCTTTCGTCGTCGACGTTCACCTGCTTGTCGTGGTCGTCCTGGGCTCGCTGGGACGTCCTCCAGGCACGCGAGAGGTTCAGCTCATTTCTGTCGTCAACGTGCGCCTGCACAGACACGCAGCAGCGATTGTTCTTCGACGACCGTTTCGTGTCGTCGGCTTGTAACAGAATCTGAGGCACCTCGCGGACCGATGGGTCCCACCTCTTCTGATCTTGGTTGTCCAAGTTGGTACTGTCGGTCTTGCCCAGCTCGGTCGTCACCTTGTCGGGCTCACGACTGGAATCTTCCTCCACGGTGACATTCTTGGCGTCTACTCTTTTCTTGTGAAACAGAAGTTCTTCTGGTGTCTTCGTCCGGGGACATTCGCGGGAATAGTGCCCCAATTCTTTGCATTTAAAACACTTCACCCGATAATTTTCCGGTACGATGCCCTCCCTTGGGCTCTCGCGTTTTTCCTTGAGAGAAGTGGTGGTTTCAATAAAGGGCCTCCAGACCTCAGCTCGAGACAGTCCGAGCTCTAACAAGACCCGTTCTTTGACCGCACCATACCCACTTCTCTCACCCGTGTTCACCCTATTCACTAGTGCACGCATGCTCTCCGTGAAATAATGTCGCACAAGATATCCTCTGAGCCGCTCAGGGACTTCATATGTCTCGAAGACGCTTTCTACGCCATCAAACCAGCTCGGCACTAATTTTTCGGACGACGGCATAGAAGTCAGTACTCCTTTCATCAATCTTGAAAAGCTAAAAACTTCATCTCGGAGGTTGAACTCCATGTCGCCTCCACTGGCTCGCCTTCGGTTTTCTGAGCGTAGATGTTCTAGTTCTAGCTCGAGGCGTAACAGCCGTTCTTTCTCCCTTATAAGTTCTATCTCCTTTTCAATTGAGCTGTATGATCGGACTCCTCCGTTCCCATCCCCTTGTGTCTGCGAGTTTGCCACTAATCTACTCAAAGGTGACAATTCACCAGGCCCGTCAACATCCCTATTCCGACCCCTATTCTGCTCTGGCGTTAGAACCGGCATCCGCCGTTCTGTGCTGTCTGTATCCATGGCGGGCACACGTCAAAGAACCACCTGACCGTAAGGTCAACGACTGCCGCTGGATCACAGACGCAGCCCGCTGCTCAGAATAGTCACGCACGAAAATGATGTCCGAGCTCTAGATTCAGGCGTTCCTCGCTAGAGTGGGACGGCATCAGGTCCGAGGTAGCTCTGTCATCACGAAGTAGCTCGGTGGTCCAATCTTCAAGGAGCTCGGTGGTCCAGTCTTCTCTGTAGAAGGCTCCACCAGTGCCGCGTCAAGTCGCTGTCCGCCGATTCCGTTGTGAAGATCACGCCGCCGGGGTCCGCTGACGCAATCCTGTCGACTGCGCCAGTGAAGATGTTCTTTCTTGGAGATTGCGCCGGGACCCGACGACGGAGGCAGCTGATGGTCGCTGACGGAAGAGAAAACCAGACAGGACTCCGCGGATAGGAGGAAAAAAAAAACACGTCTATTTACAAGCCAAGCTAATTTTCGAATCTCCTCCAAAAGGTTACCGCACGTGCTGTCCTCGTCTTCTTCTCTTTTTTCTCCCGTCCCCTGCGCCAGCTCGCACGAGCGCCGCCAATCCACCCACACACAGGGGCACACGTGCAAACGCCAACACGCAAAGGAAAGAAAATGAAGCTCGGTCCTGTTCCCGCGTCCACTCACGGTGATGGCGGGGCCGATTCTCACAATGTCATTACTATAAATAAGAACAGCAAAGGTTCCAGTATTGAACCTTGAGGAACGCCATATTTTATAAAAACGGCAAATGATTTTTGCCATTATAGACTGTGTATTGCATGCTAGATGTAAGATAAGTTGTTAAAAGTTTATGTGAAGTTCCTCATACACCATATGCTCTAATTTTTGAAAAAAGTATTTCATGTTTGATGGAATCTAAGTCTTTATGATGATCAAAAGACAAACCAATTGTGAAGAGCTTGTTGTCAATATTGTTAATTATATCTTGTCAGAATGATGAACATGTGAGTGTTCAGGGATAATAGGCATAATAGGCATAACTCTCGAATATTATCTGCGCAAAACAAGTGCTTTTAAGTTTATATTGGATGATCGTTCACGAATACCAGTTTGATTTCAGCGCCTGAGAATCCAATCGCTCTGGTGCTTATTCTCGGCTTGGGGACGCAGCAAGCAACACTTTTGTGTCTTGAACCCATCTGCAATATTGGCACGAGTGTCAGCGACGGGAAAAAACCACCAACGAGACCGTCAGGACTTCTTCAGCCTATTGCGCCACCATCCGCCCCATTCCAGCAAATCGGAATGGACTTACTTGGCCCATTTCCACCATCGACGCAAGGGAACCGATGGATAATCGTCGCAACCGATTATCTCACACGGTACGCCAAGACAAAAGCGCTTCCATCAGGAACGGCTGTTGAAGTCGCAAAGTTTTTTTATCGAGTCCATTGTCCTCCGGCACGGCGCCCCCGAAGTCTTGATCTCAGACCGTGGATCCTCGTTCATGGCCCAGCTGACAGAGGAAGTCCTTCGTCTCAACCACACCAGCCATCGTCGCACCACGGCGTACCACCCGCAGACCAACGGGCTGACGAAAGACTGAACAAGATTATCGCCTACATAATATCCATGTACGTCGACGTGGAGCACAAGAGATGGGACGAGGTGTTTCCTTTTTTTTATTTTTGTGCACAAGCTCGCCCCATTAAACGTTCAGTTGAGGCGAACTTGTGCCCAAAAATAAAAAAAGGAAACAAAAGATAACTGCAGAGCGTCGCGGGCGTCGATGTCGGCGAAACCGCAGGATCGAGCGCTGGGGCGAGACTGACCCCGCTCGCCTTGCGGAGTCCCTTATGTACCCTCCTCCGTTTCTGGATAATTCGGTGTAGAAATTTCGGTGCGTAGAATATTCGGAACTCGATCAGCCGAGAATGTTCTCGAACTTACGATAAGGCCAAATTGAAAGAATGAATAAAATGACAGACTGAAATCGAACCCACACCTACCGCGCGAAAGTTCAGCGCGGTAACCACTCGGCCACGCAAGCGCTTGCTCGCCGACGCGCGTGGCTATATTATGTTCTTGTTTTCGCAAGAAGGAACAGCTCTAAGGACGTCGATGTGGGCATCTTCGAGCGGGACGTGCGCAAGAGCGCCAATATACTTCTTGCGATCTCAGGAGCTTGCTAAACGCTATGTATGGGCTAGTTGGTTGATGAGCATCTTGGTTTAAAACTGCGCGACAAGGACAAGGTAAAGACGAGACAAACCCCTAAACGCACAGTAGAGTACCTAAGAGAGAGAGAGAGAGTTCATTTACATTGTTGCCAGCACACAAAAAAGGCGGATTTGTAGTGTGGAAAGTTTCTGAGTCTAATCATTCTGTCCTTGCAAAGCTGTGGCGACTTGCCGTTGGTCAATGTTAGAAAGAATATTAAAGGGCTATGTTAAAGCTTGAATCTGTAACAGACATTGGGAGCGATGGATGCAGAATAAAAATACCTGTGTTTAGATATGTTCTTTTCGGCAAAAACATATATATTAGTTTGCCCGGAACGGGTAATAGGGTCCGAAAATGAAACTTAACTGGCAGAAGTCCATAGCGCAGTGTTTTTACAAGAAAACATGAACTTACTTAACAATGACGACCCCTTTTATGGTCAGGCACTCGAAAGATGTCATAAAAGTTTCAAGTGAAAATTCAAATAGGGGCCTTTAAGCATTTTCCGTCGTCATAAACGTTCCGTACTATTCTATTCCCGAGAACAAACTAATGCACAGCGGAACTGAAAAAAGAGGGACGGTAGCGTTAAAAAACGAAAGGTGTATCCCCACAGAGAGCGTTTTAGAATTACTTCATGTCTATCTCAACTCGATTTTCGCGGATTGGGACAACGACATTTTTATTCAAAGACAAAGAGTATGCATTGGCTCCTGCATCACCCCAATGGCGAGTGACATTTTTTTAGCCAATGTTGCCTGGCTAATTGCGGATTGTCTACACGACACCAAACTAGTAAAATGTTTTTAGATTTGTAGATGAATTTTAAGTGTTCAAATAGTGCGAGAAATTATAGATTGGACCCGAATTCACTCCCACTTTGGCCATTTCTAAAGACTGACTTGCATCCTTGCAACTGACGCACGAATTAACAGTCGACAATTTCAAAATATTGTTAGTAGTCCGCTCCAACTCAAGAAGGAAAGGGGGAAACCTCCTTCTCTCCATAGCGTTGCGTCTGCTTCCTCCTCCCCGGCCCGTCTTACCCACGCCATACCTTCATGAGTTGGAACGGACTGTAGGTCTGCAGTTGTCAGCCGGACATGCATGCTGGGCCTTTGATCCCAGAAGTAACAAGCCGAGCCTCTTGCTCACCTCTGCGCATTAAAAGATTATGAAAAGAGGAATTGGGAATTCATGCTTTCATTTCGCATATTGTAAATCGTGTCACCACCGCAGGTCGCACAGCTTCTTAAAACAAAAAGACAGACTTGCGAATGCCGGCTATCCAAAGACGCTTTTAACTTCAGTGGCCAAAAAATTTCGAAAACACACATGGTACAGACTTTCAGGTCGTGCATGTAGTCTTAGACGGAGTGTGTCGAGGGTTTTTTGCGTGCTTCTCAGTGAATCAGTTACCAAACAGTCTTTTCCCACCATCAAACGTCTTGTAATCAGTTGGGAACATGACTTACTGCCCACTTTGTACCATTTTGTGTCGTCACACTTCAATGTTGCCAGTAGGGGCTCCCGGATTGAGAAACACGATGGAAACGAAATTTGAAAATTCAATAACTTCGCGAATTCTTTTTTTCTTTTCACACAATACTCGGGCAACTCGTAGAGCCGTGTCTATCGGTGCGTTGAGCTCATTTTGAGGCAAATCAGCGACAATGAAAAAATCGCCGGAGTCCCCCTTTAAAAGGGCGTGGAAATGAAATGTTTGACATTTTATTTCTTTGTCTAGATGCGGTTCTTGTTTTCCGACCGCCCGAAAACACTAACCTGGTCGAGTGGTTCTGGACTGCACGCAGAGAAGTCAATAAAACTAATTTAAAACGAATCAACAGATTTCAAAATTGCGTCTGGTGGTGGTCTGTGAAGCATCGTCGTAATGCCGTCACGTCATGAGTTCCTAAGGAGCAGCGGCAGTTAGCAGAATTATAACTTTCTCGTGGAGTTACTTAGTACTGAATGTGACTTGGCGGAGAACACTCATAAGCTGAGACTGCAACCCAAACCACAAGCGCGAGCTAGCACGCCCTCCTGGCTTTGAGACATGGATTTCTAGGGGAAGCGCTCGATCGTTCTGCGTAACAACGCTTCAAAGCAGCGACCTGAAGTTCTCGTGGTTGTGGCATTGACTGCAGTCTCAGCTCCCCGGTGCTTCTGCAACGTGCATCCCACACCGTCGAGATCGCCGTTCTCTGCAGACGTTAGGTAGGAGCTTGATCTGAGGATGCGGGGACCTCTGTCAGTTCAACTAGCGATACTAAATAAGCTTAACGACACTTGCACATATTTTGGCTTAAACTCAAGGCTGTCAGTTATCTGGAGCTTTATCTGAAATCAC